AGAAAGGCAATCGGCGTCCTGGTGCAGGCGTCCAGACTTGTATATCACAGAAAAGGTGTATTCTTGCAGTCGCAGAGCCCAGCGACCAAGTCGACCTGTAGGATCTCTTAAGGATGAAAGCCAGCAGAGCGCGTGGTGGTCGGTGACGACGGAAAAGTGAGTGCCATATAAATATGGACGGAATTTTGAGACCGCCCAGACAAGAGCAAGGCATTCTCGCTCCGTGATCGAATAGTTACGCTCTGCAGGTGTAAGGAGGCGGCTAGCATACGCGATAACGCGGTCGTGTCCCTGTTGGCATTGGGCGAGAACGGCTCCGATACCGTGACCACTGGCATCAGTTCGGACCTCAGTTCGGGCAGATGGGTCAAAGTGGGCGAGGATAGGGGGCGTCGTCAAAAGTGTTATGAGGTGAGAGAAGGCGGCAGCTTGAGTGGACCCCCACGAAAATGGAACGCCTTTCTTCAAAAGATCGGTAAGTGGTTGGGCGATTGCCGCAAAATCTTTCACGAACCGCCTAAAGTAGGAGCAAAGTCCCACAAAGCTCCGGACATCTTTGGCGGATTGGGGTACTGGGAAACTCGTGACGGCACGAATTTTCTCAGGGTCCGGTCTCACACCAGAAGCATCGACAAGGTGGCCCAGCACGGTAATCTGTCGGCGGCCGAAGTGACACTTCGAGGAGTTCAACTGGAGGCCAGCTTTGCGGAAGACGTCGAGAATGGCCGACAGACGCTCAAGGTGGGTCTCAAACGTAGGTGCAAATACGAGGACGTCGTCTAGGTAACACAGGCATGTTGACCATTTGAACCCGTGTAGCAGAGAGTCCATCATACGTTCGAACGTGGCGGGGGCATTGCATAGACCGAAGGGCATAACCTTGAATTGGTATAGGCCATCTGGAGTGATGAAGGCGGTCTTTTCTTGGTCTTTCTCGTCTACGGCAATCTGCCAATAACCAGAACGAAGGTCGATGGATGAAAAGTAGCGTGCGCCGTGGAGACAATCGAGGGCGTCATCAATACGTGGTAAAGGATACACGTCCTTTTTGGTGATTCGATTTAGATGCCGGTAATCGATGCAAAAACGCCATGTGTTGTCCTTCTTTTTAACCAGGACGACGGGTGACGCCCATGGGCTTGATGAGGGCTCAATAATGCCTTTAGTTAACATCTTATTCACTTCAGCTTGAATAATCTGGCGCTCCGACGCGGACACGCGATACGGTCGACGGTGAATGGGAGCAGCATCACCGGTGTTGATGCGGTGCTTTACAAGAGAAGTTTGGCCGAGTGGGCGGTCGTCAAGGTCGAAGATGTCACGGTAGGAAGCTAGAAGGCGTGCGAGAGCGGCTGATTGCGCTGGGGGAAGGTCAGGGTCGATCATGGGACGTATTGACGTATTGCAGCCTACAGGTAGCAATATCCTTCATGTGCGCCTTTTACTGGAAAATGCATACATAAGTAATTTTAAACACCGTAGCAGTTATCACGCTGCGCTGACCATACAACGCTTGCACGGGTAGGCGAGTGTTTCCAACGCTTTGCTAAAATGAGACGGTGGTGGCGCCTACCCGTCGCCTTGCGTTCTACGCCTTATCACCTCTGAGGCGGGCACGCACACCCATCTCAGAGCCCCGCGCTTTGTTTTCGAAAAAAAAAAACTGCCAGATGGCGCTCATGTCTGACGTGTGACATGACTTTATGCGTTAGTTCACCTCCGCTGCACGCTCTAGGCACTCTAACACAGCGCCTCCATAATACCATTCGCTGATTGTCTTGAGCAGAACATCAAATGAATGTTTTGTTCACTCTCTGCACACGCAAGACTATCGTCTTTCGACGACATTTGCAGAATAATTGCAGATACGGGGCCAATTTTTTAGCTATTTCTCTTTTACTAACCTCTGTCTATATATATATATATATATATATATATATATATATATATATATATATATATATATATATATATATATATATATATATATATATATAGGTTGTCCCACATAACTTGAGCCAAGAATTTGAAAATGAAAGAAGCTTCAGTGGCGAATTGAACCAAACGCGTAGCACTCACACTTGCCTGTACGTACTCAGGCTATTTTTGTATCTCCGCATAGTAATTAATTATTCAGTCTACGTTTCCGACATGAGTAAATGTGGCAGGTTGAGTCTCGCTTTCCTGTGCCGCCTTTGTCGTCGCTCTTATAGTGGCGACCGGCTCAAATATGTACTATCGGGAGCAATATGAGCCTGAATACACGAGCGCATGGCCAATAGCCTCGGACCCCCTATCTGCTGATTCGGAGCAGCGGCTTTCTGAATCGAAGTGGAAAGGGTGGCGCACTTTCCTTTTGCTGTTCACACTCCCGCCTCGATATTGTTGCTGCAAAATGCAGCTTATAGCATGCGTGTGGCTGCTAGTGGTGACATGAGCTCGCACCAACGCGCACAGCCACAACCAAACAGGCTGTGCAGCTACGAAGATATCACCTGTGACGTAGCCTGTCGTGATGCACAGGGCATTCTTCGTTGAACATTTTGATAAGCATATCTCTGTTTTGTTTTTGAGGCATTTTCTTTTAGTGTTATCATGGCTAGCGGCCGATGGCACGTGATCAGCTGCCGTTTCACAGCAACAATCGTGAGGGAGTGCGAACAGTAAGTAGCAACAATCGTGAGGGAGTGCGAACAGTAAGTAGAAAAGTGCCCTCCTCTCCCCCTACTGTACCGGCAGCGCCATCCACGCATCGCGTTATCTCGGTTTTGAGGCCATTTGCCACGCGCTCTTGTGTTCGAGCTCATATTGCTCACGATAGTACAGTGGTGCAATTATATAAAAATTCCAAATCCGTACGGAGGCGGTCTGTCGGTGACGTCAAAAAGTGGGTGGTTCGCAAAGGTCGCGAGGACGAGAGGAAGTGAACAGCCAATGAGGGAAATGGAGGCTTGCGTCATCATTTTGACGGTGCCTTGGGGGCCGTATAGCAAAGTGAAAAGTGTTTGTAACATGTTCAGAAGTGTTTGACTATTATTGCGCACTATTAAAATGTGTTGGCACTAGTTTTCAATTGTTTAATAAGGAATACGATACAATCCAAACGTATTTTTTCTGTTATTGTTCTAAACAACGCTAAATTTAGCGGGACGATTTGTGGTGGCGCTAGGTACAACTTTGTTTCAAGCAGTTACTGTTTTCAAAACTCCACTACTAAACGGCGCAACTTTCGAAGCCGTTGGCTCAGTCGAGCGCAGTCATGGCGGAGGGCAACGGCACCGCTAGCCACCAGCAGCAGCGGCTCATCCGCGTTTTCGAGGGTCAGCGCGCGCTGGTGCTCGCCTTTATGAGCGAACATCCGCAGCTCGCGGCGAAAGCCATTGAGCTGCAGCATGGCGTCACGGTCGCCGACCGGCGGCGGCTGTGGCAAGAGCTCAGCGACGCGCTGAACCTTGAAGGCCCTGCGCAGAAAAGCGTGGATGACTGGCAGGCTTGGTGGCGCAGGCAGGTGCACGAGGCCCGCCGTGACGCCGCCGCCATCAAAGAGGCACAAACGTGAGCGACCGTTGAATGTGCGGGCGATTTGTTCTTTGACATTGGTGTATATTTTCAGGGGCACTGGAGGGGGTCGTCTGCCAGGCTTCCGTGGTCGCGTGTTGCAACTCACCGGGTTGGCACGCTTCGGTGGCGTCTTCGGTTCCCTCGAATATCAACAGGTAAGCACTCTGCCGCCCCAGTATCACGGGTTCCTGAGCGGTGCCATGACAGAGTTTGCCCATTTTGTAAGGGGTGCCTTTAGGGGAACCTTGTTGAACAGTAAGATAGTGCAGGAAAAAGAATTCAAAAGCAGGTAGGTTTGTCAACTGAAATCTCGCTTTGCAGCCCTTGCAGTAAAAGGCGTATTTATTTATCAAACAGACACGAAATGCCTGCGGGCAAGTGCATGCACTAAAATGGTAATACGTGATATCAATGACCACTGAATAGCTGCAGAACATTTCCGCAGATGTTTAGTAGGTAAGGTTGTAAAATAGCCAGAGTAACGAATACCCTTTTTCTGAAAGATTATGCCCACGACACTTTCCAGCAGGCGGATGTTCCCGCTCCTGCAATGGAGGTCGAGGTGGAAGCCACTGAAGCGGCTGCAGCAGGTGACAGTGACACAGCCACACGTAAGCATCTGAGAACTTAGTGTTTTATTTAATATAGGACGTATGTGCCCCCAGTTCGTGAACTTTTATTCTTTACTCCACAGAAGGCCCCCCAAGTTACCTGGAAAGCGGCCCCGCTGCACCGGGTAAGTTATTGATCATCAAAGTGTTTTGAGAAAATAACCTCTCGTATGTTATTCGAATTGCCCAATTATCCACAACATGGCCATAGACTTAAAGCCTACCACAGCATGCGGTGACGAAAATGCTGCATGTTTTCAGTGCCTCAGCCTCCTGTGCGGCCTCGCCGTCGACAGAGGCCATGGCGCACCGACACTTTGTTGCGGGTGTCTTCCCAGTGCGACCAGAGCCTCGAGCTGACTGAGAAGTTGCTTGATGTGAGTAGACCGTTTGTTTAAATTTTACGTAAAGGGTGTGAACATTTTTGATGCTCTGTTATGATGACTGAAACCAACTTGGGCTGTAAATAAGAAACATGCATTGTATTGAGGGCACGGTATCTGACATCTGCAATGATAAACTGCCGGGCAAAAGGTTGGTTAGCCCTGAAAAGGGCTGTTTGATGGTAAGAGATGCATTTGAGGAGATGAATGAAGAGTAGTTCCAGCAATTGTTTGTTGATCCAGACGAAGAGGGCATAGCTTGTACACGAAGCTTCACACTTTCAAAGGATGCCACCAGGCCAATGAATTTTCAACTGAGGGGAAATTGTTGTTCACGTTGCAATTCTCCGCAGCAGCAGCTTCGAGCCACGAGATGGTCGAGAGTTCTTCAGCAGCTCATGCAAACATTTCCACCATGATGATTCACTGCAGGTGGTGCGGGGGATCAGAAGGTCAGCCTTGCACATAACTTCTCTAGCGCGGCGTATGGCAGCAGCACAGGAGCGGGCGGCCGCAGCACAGGAGAGCATCCTGCAGGCGGTCCTATCCTTGGAGCGGGCCATGGCTGAGGGCCCTCTGCGGGAAAGAGATACATAGTTATCTATTTTGATGTTCGATATATGCGTTTAGTTTAAGTTTTGCATCATGTTTTTAATGTTTTAAATGTTTATCATGCATTATTGGTTTATTAGTTTTTATATGTTTACGTGTTGCAGTCAGCGTACCATTTCATACGTTGTTTTTTTACATTTAATACATATTACTACCTTTAAGTTAGCATTTACTTTGTACAAGGAGTACAGCATTTTTTTCTTCACATGTCTTTCATATATTTTGATGTTCGATATATGCGTTTATTTTAAATTTTACATCATGTTTTTAATGTTTTAAATGTTTATCATGCATTATTGGTTTATTAGTTTTTATATGTTTACGTGTTGCAGTCAGCGTACCATTTCATACGTTGTTTTTTTACATTTATATTACTACCTTTAAGTTAGCATTTACTTTGTACAAGGAGTACAGCATTTTTTTCTTCACATGTCTTTCATCTATTTTGATGTTCGATATATGCGTTTCTCAATTTATGTTCGACCTAATCGTGCGGCAGCGTCTCCCCCCTCCCCCCACCATCTTAAAGGTGGCTAATCATCCACACAAAGACCAAGAGCGTATAGTTGACATTTTTTGTGAATGTTTTTAGCACTGTGATATTTGTGTTGCCTCACTGTTTTCTAGCTCACTGCGCTTTTTATGCAGCATTACCACATAGTGTTGGACTGTGATATTTTTAGCCTCACACTGTTTCGCAGCTCACTGCATTCTTTATGAAGCATGTTTACCTGCCGAAAATTGCTTACCCTGTGATATTGTCATTATAGCGCAATGAGGCTAAGGTACAACTACAACCAAGTCTTTTTTGAGATCACTAAACTAGCAAGTGGGTATGTCGCACAGTTTAACTAATGAAAAGGGTCATCATCACAGCAACATGCCAGCGACCGTTTTCATTGTAGATTACTCATTGCAGGAATTAATTTTGAACGTGGTATGCCTTGGGAGCAGCGAGATTGCTGAGCCAAATATTCATGCCGTGTGTCATCAAAAGATCCCACATGTTATTTGCTGCTTTGATTTACCTATTTTGTAGCATTGCAGTATAACTGTAGTCGGGAATTCAAATCAAATGAAATATATTTAAATATTTATACAACGTTGAGGACAATGAACAAAAAGCCGGCACGGCATTGTGCTCGGCAAGCCTAAATGTGTACAATTGAATGCTTGCAGTCAATGACTATGAGAAGAGACGGACATACGTATCATGCGTTCTTGCAACATGTTTCTAATGTAACTGCAATTTTTATGCGTTTTCGTGAAAGAAGTTGTGTGACGTTGCTGCATTGTTCCCACAATCTTTTGATGGCAACAGTCAGCACAGGGTGCCCCTCATATGCGCTTGATCCAATCTAGTCTGTTGTGACTGTGATCACTGATATAGAAAAGGGTGTTTCCGTTGCCTAATTCATGTGACATTTAAAAAAAATGCAGCATTTTTCTATTGCCACCATGCATAATGTTGAAGCACGAGTAAGTACTTTGTGTTGTGGCAAACACGGCCCTGTCTTGTCTGGGTGCACTGGAATTAGTATGAATAAATTATGTGTGTGATATGACAGCTTACCGCGTTCCTGTGCACTTCAAAAAAGGCCCACGACAGCGCTGCGCTGCTGCTGTCCTCTGAGCAGCACGTTGCGGGGTGTGAGCACATGGCTCTTCTCCTGGCTCCCCATCGTCATCCTCAACTGGTGGCATGTCCCCAACATACTCATCCAAGGTCCAGTCCCCTGCGTCCATTGCAATGTTGTGGAGAGCAGCGCAGGCATAAATAATTCGCCCTGCTCGATCGGGGTTGTAGAGCATCGTTCGAAAGTGCTGCAAGCAGCGGAACTTGCTCTTCAACACTCCGATACATCTTTCCACAACATTGCGCATGGATGCGTGCTCCTTGTTGAATCGGCCTTCGGAGGTGTTGCCGGGGTGACTGCCAGGAACTGGAACGAGGAGCCATGGCTCGAGGGGATACTCTGCGTCTCCTGCAATAGAAAAATGGCGGCTGAGTGCTCTACCCCAGTTAGTTCACATTAATACTTACCAAGCAGATATTCGCCAGGCTGCAGCTGTGCAGCTAGGCGTGAACGCCAAGGGTTGTGTTCCCAAACCCAGGAGTCGTGGCACGAACCTGGGAATCGTGGGTCCACGACAAGGATGCGCAGCCGTGCGTTGCACACCTGCAATGAGTGATACAAAATAGTACTGCATCTATGCTCCAAACAAACCCCTTCTTTATACACATAAGCCGGAAACAATGCATACTAGTACAGTCATTGGTACATGCAGTTTCACCTAGAGGGGAACACAGGGACAGGGTGTAGCAACTGAGGAGAGAAGGGGGCAATGACCATTCCCCTGTACACATGGCTACGACTTCCACTGAATGATCGATAAATGAAAACCTACGCCATGCTATTGGGAAAGAACACTCGTACATACCACAGCTAGCCTATGCAATTGTGGTTATAAGTACTTTCGTGTTTGAAATACTTCCCTATCGTGTGTATAATTCTGCTACGACTACAGCCCATATTCTGATTACCTTCAAAATGCTCAACTTCATTGCGCATGCATGCCAGAACGAAGACAAAAAATACGACAACTGGCTCACTTACACAAACACTTGCCACTTATGATAACCGAGGCCATGAGAGCCACCAACTAGCACGCACCCATTTATCCGCATGTTCTCCCTTATTCTTTGAATTGGTACTTTTCCCAGCTCCGACGTCAAAACTGAACAGCTACTCAAATGGGCGAGTAAGAAAGGATCCGAACAGTACTTACGATCATGACGTTCAGGGCATAATAGCCCTTTCTGGACATGAAACTCGCCGTGTCGGCCAGGCTGTATCCCTCTGGCTTGCGAATGGCGACCAACGTGCCGTCGACACACGCCAGCACGCCTGGGATGCAACCACGTCGTGCAAACTCCGCCTTCGCCTCATCCTTGGCAGCTGTGGTCAGTGGGAAGTCCACCACCCTTTTTCTAGCAGCTACGGTAATGATCGCCTCCGTCACCTCGTGGATGGTGTTGCTCACCGCCGGCTGAGACATGCCGATGTGTTCCTCGCGACCAATGCTCAGCTTGGAAGCTACCGGTGGCGAAAAATCGCAGCGCGCACAACACCTTTCTCTCTGTGGAAAGGCCACTGGCTCGCTGGCATCCGATGATAGGGTCAAGTTCGTCGCACAAGCTACGCACTGTTCGTTTGGACAGACGAAAACATTGCCGGAACGCTTCTTCGCTGAACTCTTCAAATGCATCTTTTACCTCGCGTCGTCGCCTCTGCTCGGTTGAAGCTACCGCACAGGCAAGGTGAAGTACCATGTCAGTGGGAAACGCCATGTTGTCTAAGTGCCCCGGTGCCGAAAAGTCGCGCATTTTTTCCATTTCAATCCAATCCAGGCCACCTTGCAGCCGTTTCAATCCATCCGGTTGCTTTCGGACGGTCTCTCCGACCGTTCCTTCGCCTTTCTCCGAAAACCGAAAAAAAAGAGTCACGTGACACCCCAGTCCACGTCACTCATAACGTCACAGCATTCGTCACAGCTTGTATGGGCCAATCGCGTGCGACTCAATGGAAGAGACCGCCTTTGTCCGGATTTGGAACTTTTACATAATTGCGCCACAGATGTACTACTGTGTCTAGAAATATGCTGCCTAGTGTGCTGAGCACTGGCTAGGAGATGGCCCCGCAGCTGATGATTGCCGGCGGTGCCCGCATGGTGCGCCGTTGTGCGAGGGGGGCATTTGCGTTCAATCCTTGTGCCCCGCAAACACTCCGAAGCTTTCAAGAGGCCGAACCGCACGAGGCCAACTATTATTTTCCTGCATTTTTGGAGTGTTATTTACATAATGCTTTATAAGAACTACTCGATTGCTTTCACAGTACTGGCGCTTTGCAATATGAAATTAGGTTTATTGCGTGACATACATATTGCCATTCGCTACTGCCTGCAATAAAAAAGAGGCAGATTCCACGTAACTTGCGAATCAATGCTATGCAAGGTGACTCTGTTGTAATTTTTCAATAATTGAAACATCATGAAGTGGCTGGTAAATATATGCAAGAAATTAGATTGTCAACACTGGAACCAGCATTGGCGTTTCACGAACGTTTGGCTCTTCTTGCAAATTATTTCAAAGACCTGGTGTGGCTCTGTAGTTGAATACATGGTTTCCACGCAGATTGCTTGGCTTCAATTTATCTGCTAGGACACAAACGTTTATTATTTGCATTCGTAGGGTCGACATTGCCAATGCTAGCTTAACGCTCACTCGTTAAAAAGATGTGGCGAGAAGGGTTTGATGGTGTACGTGACGGGATTGAGAAAATAATCATGTCAGGACCAGCGAGCCCTATTCAGCAAACTATCCTACCCGCCCACAATAATTTTAGATTACCCTAAGGGGGTGATCGTGAGAGCACCCAGACGTAGGCGATTTGATAGATAGATAGATAGATAGATAGATACACAGACAAACAGACGGAAGGAAAGACAGACGGATGGATGGACGGACTGACAGGCAGACAGACAGACAGACAGACAGACAGACAGACAGACGAATGGACGGACAGAAGAACAGATATACGGACGGACGGATAAATGGATGGACAGATAGACAGGCGAACGGACACACGGATGGACAGATAGACTGATACACGTATGGACACACGGACAGACAGACAGATGGATGAACGGAGAGACGGACGGACAGACCGATGGACAGACGGTCAGAGAGACAGGCGGACAGACAGACTGACGGATAGACATACGAACAGATAGACGGACAGACAGATGGACGGATAGACTGACGGACAGAAAGATCGACAGACTGGCAGACGGACAGATAGACAGATGGACAGACGGATGGACAGATAGACATATAGACGGACGGACGGATGGACAGATAGACAGACGAATGGATGGACAGATAGATGGACGGACGGATTGACAGATAGACAGACGATGGATAAATAGACGGATGGAGAGAAGGACGGACAGATAGATGCACGGACAAAAAGACAGATAGACGGACGGACAGACGGATGAACGGATGGACAGACGAATAGATAGACAGACGGAGAGACGGATGTACGGATGGACAGACGGACGAGCAGACGGACGGATAGACAGACGGACAGATATATAGATAGATAGATAGATAGATAGATAGATAGATAGATAGATAGACAGACAGACAGATAGAAAGACAGACAGACAGACAGACAGACAGACAGCGAGACAGATAGATAGATAGATAGATAGATAGAGAGATAGATAGATAGATAGATAGATAGAGAGATAGATAGATAGATAGAGAGATAGATAGATAGATAGATAGATAAATAAATAGATAGACAGATACATAGATTTATTTACAAATACCGCGGGCCCTGTTCGGGCTCAAGTAGGAGTGGGTAACAAATGTCAGTGACAAAACAGAATATAAAAATATAAGAAAATACAATACTTGGTACAAAAATAAGAAAATTCTCAACATCAGGGAGAATATAAATAATACACAGCAATAGTGGCATTCACACCAAAATACAAAAAATCTCAGCACTAATGAGGAACATAATATATTGCATAATAAAAATCAAGTGTTAGGTCATTTACGAGATGGGTGAACGATTGTGTCGTGTCCACATTCACGACCTCCTGAGGTAACTTGTTCCTTAATGAAAGAGCATGAGGGAATAATGAGTACTGATGAACGTTCAGATGACTGAATGGTTGACTAACTGTTTTATTATGATGAATGCGGTCAAAGCGCACGGACAGATTGGTTATGTAGCGATTTGGTGGAATTTTCAAGTGACCATGGTACAATTGATAGATGAATTTTAATCGAGATACTATTCTACGATGAGCGAGTGTTTTAAGATTTGCCTTCTTGCGAAGAGCAGAGACGCTTACAAAACGAGAGTAGCTAGAATAAATAAACCTCAGAGCCAGGTTTTGGATCCTCTCTATTTTTCAATTAAGTATTTTTGATATGGCGCCCAGACCAGGTCTGCATATTCTAACTTAGGCCTGATGAGCGCTTTGTAAGCTATTAGTTTTATAGAATGTGAAGTGCGACGCAGTTTACGTTTTAAAAATGCCATCTTCTTTAGCGCATTGCTACAGATGTTATATATATGAGTTTACCAATTTGAATTGCTTGTAAGCGTGACTCCCATATATTTCACTTGCGTAGCCTTTTTAACATAAGCGTTATTAATAGTATATTGGAATTCTAATGGGTTTTGTTTGTCCGTAACTGTGATGGATGCCGTTTTTGATGCGTTGAGCTTCAAGCCCCACTTAGCACACTAGGCGCAGATGGATTGCAATGCGTCGTTGAGTCTGGCTTGATCAGAATGCTGAACAATGTCGGAATAAATAACACAATCGTCTGCAAAAAGTCGGATTTTCACAGGTGATTGAACTGAGAAATAAATATCATTTATGTATACTAAAAACAATAATGGTGCAAGCACGGATTCTTTCGGTACTCCTGAGTGTACATCTAATGAGTCAGGAACGCCGTCATTGACCATCACATATTGTTTCCGTGATGACAAATAGAATGCAACCCAACGGACAATGTTCTAATCAACACCAATAGCTGACAGCTTCGTAATCAAATAATCGAGTGGTACATCAAACGCTTTAGAAAAATCTAAAAACACTGCATCGATCTAGCCCTTAAAGTTTAGTGAATTTGCAAAGTCATGAGTGATCTCGGCTAATTGAGTTGAAGTGGATAGGCCAGACCTAAATCCGTGTTGGTTGTCGTAAAGCAGTTTATTGTCTTCGAGATGTGTCATAATCACTTTAAATATTATGTGTTCTAGTAGCTTACAAGCTGTGGATGTAAGGGAAACTGGCCTATAGTTGTTTAATTCTAATGGTGAGCCAGATTTATGAATTGGGACTATTCTCACAAAGCGCCAGTCATCGGATATCACACTTTACCTCTTAGCCTGCTTTCTATCAGCATTCGAGTAAAAACAAAGAATGATTACATGCCAATAAACTATGTGACACTTGGCACATATGATACTCAAAACGTTGTTGGAAAGGGAGTCCCACGTTGAAATGGGAGAAAAACTGTGTGAATGAAATTTGAATGGACATTTGAAATTTTTTCAGATAAATATTGATATTTGAAATTATGCCTAAACGGCAATTTCATTCCCGACACTATTCACCGTAATCCGAAAAGATGGTACGATGGAGTCACTCTCAGAATGCTCTTCTCACACGACAGCCTTCGGATTCAGCCTTCTGTCCACCCTCTGCATCTTACTTTTAAATGTGAAGCATTTCTTAGCGAACTTCGGCGACTTTGAGCGTATCTATCTATCTATCTATCTATCTATCTATCTATCTATCTATCTATCTATCTATCTATCTATCTATCTATCTATCTATCTATCTATCTATCTATCTATCTATCTATCTATCTATCTATCTATCTATCTATCTATCTATCTATCTATCTATCTATCTATCTATCTATCTATCTATCTATCTATCTATCTATCTATCTATCTATCTATCTATCTATCTATCTAGCCGCCTACGACATTTAGCTCTCCTGGCCGTTTCGATAATGGCATCGATACCAAACATGATACGCCATAACATGACTGTATGATGAACTCATTTGATTGGTCATAATATGAAAATCATGACATATATGCCATGAATGTCATGATTTACACTTCATGGTCCTGCGGCAGTTGCGGTTGTTTCGTTCACATGGCATGTTGCAAAACTGATATGGTATGACATGATTGCATGGCGAACACAAGAGAAAGACCCTAACATAAAAATCATGACATGCGTGTCATGTAACAACATGACAACATGCCACGCTCGTGATGCGCTCGCTGACGTTTCGTTAGCGTCACATATAGCAAACTTGGTATTACGGTACGTGAACGCATGACGAAGATATGTGACTGGTGCAAACATGATAAC